AATCAGCCCCTCAACCTACCGAGCCCCTCAACAGCACACGCACCACTCGGACTTACGCACACTAGGCTAGGTGACTTTAACCCTTGCACAGGATTCTCGACCCTTACCTCAGTATCAGCTCTTTATCAGGCCTCAGGACGACTAGTCTAGTACAGTCTATAACCTAGCCTATACTATAGCCTACGCGCGCCTTTTATAGCGCTATAAAAGGCGCGCGTAGGCTATAGTATAGGCTAGGTTATGCTTTCGCGCTGCTATGACCGCGCACGCGCTCACGTGACTAAGCAGTGACTTCCGCTGCCCTATCGCACGATGCATAAGGCGGAGCCTATGCGCCGCGCTTGCTTAGCACACAGCTATGCCCGCCTAACATCTGCCTCTGTTACTGGGCAGAGCGCCATCTATATCTTTGCACCGAGCCCAGTGACTAGCGCCCTCTGTCACGTCACAGAAGAAAGGTGGAGGGTTCCCGAAACCGTTCCCCACCATCCTTGTCTCCCATAAGCCCGCCAACTGCATTTGTGGGCATTATCATTTCCTTGGTTTGGACATAACAAAAAAGCATATCTTTGGCCGCTGTTCACTTAAAAAGGGGGAGAAGGAGTGTACCGCCTAGTGACAGAGTTCGATCCCTGGCCGTATCCCCCAAATTTCGTATTTTTCATAACCTGTGTACAAGCTGCCGTTCATAACTTCCTTTTGGTACCCCCGCGAAAAAAATGTGTACCTCTGTGCCCTAATTTAAAGTTTAATCTATTTTACGCAAATCCTGGGTTCTTTTTAAAACACATAATTCGTTAGGTGAACTGCTTTGCAATATTACAAATGATTTCAAAGTATAAGAGTCTAATTTGGCTGGTCATTTATGAAGTAATTTATTGTTTCTTAATACAAGCCCAACGGTAAAACCTCTATTCTCTTTAAAGAACGGAAACACTCGTAGCTCAGTTCATGCTGCACCTTGGGGTACCATGGATATTGCTAAAGGGAGAGGTTTTGCGTTTGGGCGTTCTCATTAATCCATTTTGTGAGCAAAAGCAAAAGCGTCAACACCAAAACACGAGAAATTGTTTTCGTCCCTAGCTAAATCACAGTTACTTTAGGCCAGTTTTTGTTTTATTTTTGTTTGTTTTTTAGCTAATAGGGTATTTTTACCGAGATTTTTTCTCACTCTGTCACTTTCTAGTTGACGCACTTTTTGTTTATTGAGAAATCCAAGATAACACTGCGTTGTTAATTAAACATCGCCGTATACAGCTTGTCGTTTATTTCAAGAAATTTTAGTTTCTATAAACATGAACAAGATCTCAGAAATAATTTCTGTACAAGCTTTGTCTATGACATGCACGTTTTGAATCAGTGCCGTATATTCATCGCGGTTCAAAAAGAACTCGTTTATTTTCAGAATACTGTGTGATATATAAGCGCCATTTTGTTATGTGACAGCCTAGTAGAATCCCGCTCTTTCTTGGCAACCCGAAGTGAGTTGCGATGGATTTCATGCACAAGTTAACAAACCAGTACAGCGAGAAGTGAAGTTTAAGTACAACCAGTACTAGTCCCAAGTTAAAAGTGCATGGCAACTGGCAAAGACAAAGCAGGCTGCAGTTTTCAATCGGTTTACAACATTCCTTGAGCTACACCCTATATTGTCTGGAACTTGTCTACATTTTTACCCTTTGAAAACACACGAAGGGTTTCCAGAACTACGTGATCGCAAAGTTGATCAACAGCCAGTAGTGTAAGTTTATCACAAATTTAATCACACATCACAATTTAAAGTCCATCACCTATATTAAAAGACCGTCTTCGATCGAAAAGTTGATCTGCGGTAGTGAGAGTCCATCACTGATTGCACAGTTGATCACCGATTGCAAACATGACCACTGGTAGAGACCATCACCGATTGAGAATATGCATCGCCGATTGTTAAGGTGCATCAAACGATTACATGCCTCTTTTGCGTTCCATAGAGCAGGGGGTTACAACTGCGCTTACGTCCCTCCCGACATATAGTTGTCTTGTTTCATTTTATGTCGTTTTCAGATAACGTGAAATGGTGCAGGAAAGAGGAAAAATAATAAGATCAACAACTGGATGCCATGAGTAATAGGACTAATTAAAACTGGGTTGGAAAAAGTGCCTTTTAAAACTCATTTGGGGATTGAAATTAACCAGAAATCAAAGCAACATGTCACTTTACATAAGCAATTTTTCAGTGAGGTAATTGATACAATTCTCAAATTATTTTTATAACACTTGACTTTACTAACCCCCGTTAGCTATATCTGTGTCTGTACACTATGCAATTTGTTCCTTTTTTCTGTCATTTGAATTTCAAACAGTGAGTTAACTAAATATTTAGAAGTTATTGAATGGTTTCTATTAAGCATTCAACCTTAAAACGAAGACTCTTAATTTGAAGAACTATATAGATTAGGCAAAAAGCTGTTTTGAATTTGAGCTAATAGATCAATGGTGTCTTTCCATACACACGTCTACACATGCGCCAAGCGTTGCGTGTCAGCCAAAACCGCTCCATGTTTATGGAGTCGATTTTTGTGTCCGTGAAAGTGAAACGCATGAACGCGTGTACGTAACGCATCCAAAAAACGCAACTAACTATGAAAAGCCGCCTTTATCCGATTGGACGCCATACTGCGGTGCGACTACACCGTCACGCACATTCCTCAGCTTGACGCAAGCGTACATTTGGCAAATCACGACACCCTATTGGTAGAAGAGGTATGTAACGCGCGCGTACCACCTGTCCACGAGCGTTGTGCCACCGCAGAAATGGCTTCTAATTCTGGTTGTCGAATGAGACTACATAGGCCTAATTATATTCGTCATTAACGTTTTCGTTGACCGCATAAAATTATAGCATAATGACGATACACTTTAAAGCAAGTAAGTTACATACAATTTTTAAATGTATTCACACCGGTGTATTTGGCCCTTTCTGTTTCAGTGTCTTTGGCAAGTCAGTTTCAAGAAAAGGGCACAGCCATCTTCTCTCATTATTATTTTCAATACGGCCGTTTCACAATAGTGCGCCACCAAGAGTTTGCAACACGTTGACCAATCATAATGCGCAAATTTTGTCGACCCAATGTGCGTTTGGAAAGGGTCGACAAATATTGCACATTATAATTGGCCAACGCGTTGCAAACTCCAGGTGGCGCACTATTGTGAATCGCCCGTATTTGTCGTACGTTTGATGATGCAAATGAGTGTGGTTGGAAGTTTGGTTTCACTTCTCATGTCTGGGGAATGTATTGGACAATTTTCTATGCAAATCTCGTCGGCGTTACTTTCTGTACCCTCTTGGTTGTACTTTTCATCTCTGTACTCAAAATGTGAAGCAACTGTTTGCATTTATGTCATTAATAAAGGATAATTCCAGATTCCAACATTTATTTTCATGCTTAAAGCATAAGAAGCACAAAAATTACCTCCCCAGTGTACAATATAAGATTACCATTAAAACATATATTAAGAACCTAAAGATACCAATAGATTATAGATACACGCTGTTACAGCAATTACAACAATACACATTTTACAGATTCAAAATTACAATGACGATGGAGTAAAATTGTAAAGAAGGGAACGATGGAAGAACACAAATATAGGAAGGTGGAAAATAGGGAGGACGGTGAGGAGGGAAAATGGGTGGATGGAGGGGGGTACAAAGGATATAAACAAACTAATAGAGGGTCTTAGAAAGCATTAGAAACACTGGAACGGTGGAATCAACACAAAAATCAAAGTCTAGTTAGATAAAGTAGATTAAAAGTACACATTAGGCCTATCTAGTAAAAGATGAAATCAAAATATGGATGGCCCATGGCAAGAAAGACGACTTGAGTCTGTTTGTCTTGAGTGCAAGTTGGCGCACCCTACCAGATCGATTCCGAATAATGAAAGGATTGAGGGCGTAGGTAGAATCAGACAATATTTCATTGAACTTTGTTGTAACATGACGTTGGGTGATTTCTTGTATACCCAAAAAATCGACCCCAAAATTCCTCCGGGCTTGCTTATCTATGCGATGGAGTTTTCCATGATTGCACAAAGAGAGTGAGTTAAACCAGCTAATACAGCAAAAGGTTATAATCGACTAAACCGTACTCTGAGAGAAAAGCTTTAAATTCTGACTACTAACATAAAAAGATTTTAATTTTCTTAAAAAGCAAAGCCGTTGGTTAGATAGTTGGGAGATTCTAGTTGTATTCACATTCTAATTTAGTTTGCCATCAACAATTGTCTCCAAGTACTTAAACTCATGAACCACTTCAACAGGAGTATTGTTGATTATAATAGGTCCAGTGCTATTAGTTGTTTTACAGAAGTTGAATATCATTTCTTTGATTTTTTTGTGCGTTCAAAATCAGGTGATTACGATGGCACCACTCAACAAATCTACAAATCTCATTTCTATACTCAATATCCAGTGATGTAATCGAGTATTTTTTGAGAACCAAGTTCTCCATCAAATATTTAACTAGTTAGGAGGGAACAAAGCTGAAGTACATCGGCATTTGATGGTACATGCATAAAGGTAAGATTACAAAGCAACATAATGACTACAGACCATCACTGTTTGATTAAAATTAACTTGTTAGGACAAAAGTACTCGGAAAGTTCCCGGCCGAGTACTTTCCAGTACCTTTCTCCTTAAAACTTAAATTTTACACAACTGGGAGTGCCTGAAGTCTAACATTTATTTTGTAATTTTACCTTTGCACATTTACCATCAATTCCCCCTTACCCAGTTGGTACTCGGAAAGTACTCGACTACAACACTGTCAATATCACAATTGTTAGTAATCAGTCCAGTAATAGCAGTGTCAGCGGCATATTTTGAAATTGAGATTTGCAGCTTGCTGTGATCATTTAACCGAGACATCAAGTTTGTACGCAATTGATCATGGGCAAGAATGTGATGTAAGATGTCTTGATCAAATCGCCCATAGCACTGGTTCAGATCGTCTAAAAATTGCTTTAAATCATCAGCTTGCATGTCTAACTTGTTCCGCTTAGCGTAACCTGTAATGTCCTCCGTGGCATCCCATGCGGCTTTAGGATTCTTAAATTGTATCCTTAGCTTCAAATAACCAACTTCAAGGGAGTCAACCAACCTTAGACAAACCTTTAGCATGCCCCCCCAGCAGCTGTGTGATTACTGGCTTCACAGACTGCCAGGACCGTTTTTGGAAAACGTCACTGATACATCGTACAGACGACACGTAACTGTGTTTGCGCATACCGCGCAGTGCAATGGTGGGATAGAGGGTCATCGGTGTATCATAAGCATACGAGTACGATTACCTCAGTTGTTTTGTGCAATCATCATTTTAAATTTTCTTACTGCACAAATGGTAAATAAGATTGCGGCTTTCGCTTTCTCGTGATCAAATGTAACTTGTTCGTGCACGACTATTATTTCTCCAACTCTTGCCGTACGGCGACCCTGCATTGCAGTGAGCGCAGTGATACGTCATCAGTACACTGGGCTATTGAAAAAAACTGGTAAAATTCTGGACGTGATTATAGACATCTTTACTCCAATTTTGCTTGGTTTGATTAAAGTTCAGTTTTGACATCAGCCAATGGGTCTCCATCTGAGCGATCGTTGTCTGTTCCACTTACTCCACTCTTTTCTCGCAATTCCCCACTTCCTTTCCTGGTGTGATATTCCACCGCGTAATACAACAGCATGGACACACCCAAGAGACTCATCAAACCGTAGATCTTGTAAGACACACACACGAACGAAAGGATACTAACAGCAAACGACAGGCAATAACCCATGCAGATGAAGAGGTACACGGCAGAGAAGGCAGGACCGTAGTTAGCCGGGAATAAGGCACCTACAAACACTAGAATTAAAAATATAATGTGAACGGGCAATCATACAATTAAATCAACATTTTTCATTGTTCATGTTAGTGTTATGTCAGATCACTAAGAATGTTGCCAGAATTAAGTCTTAACCCCACCAAGCTTCGGTAGTCAGGCAATGCGGACGCCGCAACCCTAGGCCTACTTGTAATTGTATCGTTTTGTTAGATCATTCAGGCCTATGTAATGAAGTTTGATTTGAAATGGCACATGTAGGCTTGGTCATAACTTGAAAAAACTAAAAGCCATGTAAGCTCCAGCACATTCGTGTGTTTGGTATTTACCTCGAATTTGCATTGGCATGACTGCATCTCCCACGGACCATACTACAGCCAAAACAAACAAGTGCCATCTCTGTCCCTCTTCAGGGTCCCAGACCACAGAAAAGACGAACGCTCCTTCAATTAGAGTTGCTGCAACCGTCAGCATGACCAGTCTGCTCACGTACTGCCTTAGCAATCCAAAGATGATGGTGAAAATGGCGTCGCTGGCTGCAAAGACTGCAATGATGTAACCAACGTCATGAACGCCCTGTGTGCAGCTGACAAACGACTGTAGGGGAAGTAGGGATTGGTACAAATTAGATAGAAATTCTTTGGCATAAAGCTAGTGTTTCAGAAGAACATAGCGACAGATGCAGCTTCCGATTTACCTTTGTAAAATCTCCCACAACGAACGAATAGTATGCACCAATAAAGACGGCGAAAGGCATGAGCATCAGCAGATGTGGCTCTCTCAAGGCGTGTAGTGTTGCCAGCCAGTTGGACTGTTTCTGTTCGGCTGATAGATTCGCCGATACTTCGAGGTAACAGGGTTTGACGTTGTCCATGAAGAACAGAGTGATTAGGGGAGCGAGTATCAGGCCACTGGCCGCAAAGACGCCTAAGAATATCTTGACCAGCATTTCCGGTGGCTGGAGTGTACCTATCGTCTCTTCAGGTATCTCTGCACCACAGTCCCGCGCACCACAACAACTAGAACTGAAATTTGAACTGTCCAGGAGGCCCTCCTCTGATACGTGCCTTGTGAGGACTTGGGACAGAACAAATGTCGCAACAGTGTTCGATATCTGCCAGGACGCGTTTTGAAAGGCCATATACCGGCTCGTGAGAACTTCGGCGAGGCTGCTGCGTAACCCTGCCTTATTGACAGCAAGAGTATTTAGCATTGTGGATATGGCCGCCCAACTAGGTCCCGTCCCCAGACCACAGAGGATTGCGGATGGGATGAGAATAAAAAACTTCGGATAGAAGTTGCTGGCAGCATTTAGCCCGTAAGCTACCGAACCTAAGATAAGTGTCTTCTTGGTTCCAAGATTCTGTAGCATGACCGGTGATATCAAGAGACATGAGACGGTGAGTGCTGCATAAAAGCAGCTAAGACTTGCAAGGCCTAACCCCTTGGAATCATTCAAACTGCTCTGAAGTGATTGCAAAGAACTGAAACTCAAAGAGTCAAGTCCGAACACCACACAGACCGCCACTACGTTCACGGTGTGTCTCCCAACAAACGCCATCGTGGCGCTGTGTGTTACACTTGCGATTTTACAATCATGCAAACGTGCGTTTACACACGCACAGCGACAAAATGCGTGAGCCACCCACTAAAATGGACTGAGGTACGAACTTCATTTCAAACTTCAGACTTTTATACCATTAAATAATTTTTAATGGCACGGGCGAACATTAGACATTGCGATAAAACTGGTAAACGTTACAATCGAACTTTAGACAAGTTGATAAAAAAACAGTAAAATGTGATAACAAAATGTTCGACCGAGAACAGAAAAAAGATAAGTAATAAGCCAGCTCGTTAATACGCGCGTTTCACAATAGTGCCCCTCTCCAAGAGTTTGCAACGCGTTAACCAATTACGATGCGCGAAATCTGTCGACCCAATGCACATTTAGAAAGGGTCGACAGATTTCGCGCATTGTGATTGGTCAACGCGTCGCCAACTCTTGGAGACGCCCACTATTGTGAAACACCCGTATTACGAACCGTGCACGTGCGAATGAACTTCTGCAAAGATCATTTGTACATGAATAGACTTGATTTACTCATAGCTGTGTGTGTGTGTGTCGCGAACGGGCTGTTGTTGATATCACGATCGTTTAAGAAATTGCTAAAATATGGAAGATGCTTAAGACGAAACAGGGAAGAACCACAAACAGAATGAACGTTCTGGTAACCTACAAATCCGTACAGTCATGTAAAAAAATAACACTGAATAGTGTCCCAAAATAATTTACAATACTTTCCTATAACGTTTTCCACATACACGATTTCCACATACAGATGTCACTAATTTTCCCCTGCAGGGCCTTTTAGCCCTAAGAAAGCAATAATAATGTCCCAATAAGTCAAATTTAGCAGTGAGAAAAATCAAAGTATTGTCTTTGAAAACACTTAGTATTGTTCAGCCAAGCCTCATAGGGTTTGTGCACAGGGTGTCAAGTGATATTTGTTTATGGAACTCACTCCCGGAAATCTTTACAAAAGCAGAATATAAGATATAATGAAACTGAAAATGGAAGAAAACTGAAAGTTTACGAGTTTAAACTATCAGGTAATTTCATAAGAATTAAGATTGATAAGTGATTAATCAAAGTCCAGCATGTGGAATTTGTTGTTGTTCCTTAAAAACTCTTTCAATCGGGCGAATTTCATCAAGTGATAAATCTTGTTCACATCCATCCATTGTGTTAAGAGTTTGTAATGGTGACAGTCCGTAAAGATTATGCAAATTATTAAGTTAAGGCCAGTCACTTGACTTGACCAGTTAATCGCGCCAAGAATCACTCCACATTCCTCAACTGTGGATTGGCCACAGGAATGTCTGGTCGGACTTAAAAGATGAGGAATTCCGGTCTTCGTCGTATTCTGACCCAGGGCGTGGACGTGGCACTCGGCTCTTCCGTTATGCCGAGGTTTCAAGCACACCTTTAGTCCCTATGAGTGCCCATCGACAAGGCTTACCTGCCGTGTTGGTTACTGGCCGTAGCTCCTGTGGCTTCCCGCCACTGACCCGTCTCCGTGTCAACCCGGCCAACCTATGTCACACCTTCCTCACGCACCACGCCCAGTAGCCGTGCCCGCCCAATTGGACGCCTAGCCAGTATCCTGCCTGCTGGTTCGGCCACTTGTCCACCGTCCCACACAGTTCAAGTCCGGATGTCGAAGTCGCCTCAAGTTCACCACCAAGATCAAGGCAAGAACTCTGTCGCGACTTTCTGTTACCCGGCCGGCGGCCGTCTGGGTCAGGATTCCATCCGTGGAGGTACCTCCCCTCACACAGCCATGGCAAGCCGCAATAATTTATTTAATTTATAATGTATAAATTCGTTTACCGGTGATTTATTAGTCAAAGAAGTGTCAATTAATTTGAGTGCAGAGGATTAAACATATTGTTTTCCCTTTGTAAAGGAAACTTTCCTCCCTAGAAAGTAGCCATTTTGAAAATGCATCCCTCTGCAAAACGACTATATATTGCCACTTTCGGACCCGACTGCATTCAAATTGCTCAGTATTGAAAGCCCTTAGTCCAGGCTAGAGGTTCATATTTCTTTAATTCTCCAATTCCATGGCTCTCAGGACTCTCGAATATAGAATATCTTAAGTGGATAACTTTCATTAATGAGCTCGGCTGACATATGGCCTATTTATAGGAGTGCACCCGAAAGGGGCATCTATCGCAAAGATAATCATGCCCTCTATTGGTCCCCCTTGGGACCTAATGAGCTGACGTGTAGTCATGCAGTGCAACATACATATTACTAATTCGTACGTAAGAAATAATTTTTTTTCTTGTCCTAAATACACTTCCGTATCTTTGTTTCTAGCTGAGTACAGAGAAATATTTTATCTGTACACAACGTGGAACAAGTCATGGAACTACCGCAACTAGTTGCAGATGTAGTTTCATGAAAGGTTTGAAATGAAACGAAAACAGAATAAAATAACACAAGGTACAGTTGATTGATCGGTTCCATAATTTAGCCAATTCCGCAATTTTCAAAACCTGTCCTTTGTTTTATCACTGAATACCCGGTTCGTAGTTCTGTTATACAGTTTTCTTGAAGGTCTTTCAGAAAAATTTATTTTACTTAACGGAACCACCGTAGTGAATCACGAAGAGTGCACGTGGTTACGACTAGTTTCTGCCAATCACAGCTCTCTGCAATTGCGCCTGCACGTTCTACGCGATGCTAAATTTGTTGCGCTGTTGAATAGACGATCGTCGCGGGTGATTTTTTTTTCAAACCAACGACCACACTAAAATCGGAAATTACACGTATCTGTTAGCCCGCAATAAAAATAGGCCTACGTGTAATGTACTCTTTCAAATGTGTAAGTAGCTTCAAGATCTTAATTTTCTCATTTCCACAAACGACTTTTAGCTGCTCACAGTTAAAAAAGGCAAAGATCTTGCAGTTACTATCCCGGCCAGAAATTGGGCATATCGTCCCGCTGTATACCGCTATTATTTTCAATTTGTCGTACGTTGAGGGTTGTAAAAGGAAGGTGATGCGGACGAATGTGCTTTGAAATTCTGTTTTGCTTCTCATATTTGGAAGATGCATTGGACAATTTTCTATGCAAATCTCGTCGGCGTTATTTTCCTTATTCTCTTGGTTGTTCTTTTTGTCTTTGTACTTAAAGTACGAAGTATCCAAACTGTATGTGCATATATTTCACTAATAAAGGATCATTTTTTCCTTAGCTTCAAATACGCCCACTTTGGAGGAATCGACCAACCTTAGCCAAGCCTTAAGTGAGCCCCCAAAGCAGGCGTGTTTTACCTGCTGTCAAATACCGCAAAGATCGTGTTTGAAAAATGTCATCGATACATCACAGTCAGGTTGGCGTAGTGGTTCTTTCCTCGCCTTCCACCTCTGCGGTCCGGATTCGAATCCCTGCTCGGTCCACACGTGGATTGGGTTTTCAGTCCTATACCTTATTCCGTGGGTTTTACCTAGAGTATTCCTCTGGGGTTTTCCTCCCACCTGTAAAACTGTAACAGCTTCTCCTTGTCTCCTCTCTACAGGTTCAGGCGGAGCTACAGTGCCTAGGGCGCTTTTAAGAAATCCATGGTGTCATTACCACAAATAAATATTGATAATAACGCAGGTTTTCTCGCGCACTTTTTAAAATTGGCGCTCCAATTAACGTTAGGTTCATTCAATTTAGCGCGAACTTGATGACGATCCAGATCAACATTCAATCAGCCAAAAGAATTCGATTTAACTCCATGAGCATGCGATTGCAAATTCTTGTTGAACAAAAAGTTTAAGTCGCTATTCACTTTAGAAAATTCTCGGAACAGCAGTGAAATTCGCACAGGCACTCTGTGGTACTTGTAATGGGCATGCGATTTCGTAAATTGGCAAGCATTTCCGACATCTGTGCAATGTTTTTCATCGAAGTGTAAATTCGAAATGTTTGAGGTTTGTATAATTGTTTTCAAATTACACCATGAAGAGAACGTGTTTCACTGGCAGAGAAATCCCTGCAATCACCTGAGTGGGAGAACCTGTTATTCTGTGATCTCAAACACTGAAATAAGATCGATGGCAGCAGCTCGTGGTCGCTACACAAGAACATCCAATGTTGATCGTGGTCGTTTGATTGAAGCATTTGAGGGAAATGGTCAAGATTACCTAGAACTGGCTGCCAACCTTGGAATATTGAAGATTTATGAAAAGAAAGAAAATTTGGGGATGAATCTGCCTCCCAGTCACCCTGAGTGATATTGAGTGACACTTGTGCATTGTGAAATTGAATTATACTGTTCCTAAATTGAATACTTGAAAGTGCACGATTCGACGTCTAGAAACGAAACTGAATGCGCAAAATTTGAAAAATGAACCCCGTGGATAACGGGCTTTGAGAAATCGCTTGAATGTGAATGCATGTTCACGAATTTGAATGCTGCTTAGGCCTACCATCGGCCCGGAAAACTGTTATATACATAAACCGCGTTTCTTAAAGCAATAGCCCTACGACCCAATGACGTATCACTGTGTTTACCCATACCGCGCAGTGCACTGGTGGGATAGAGGGTCATCGGTGTATCATAAGCATATGAGTACGGTTACTTCAGTTTCGGAAAGGCAGTTGTTTTATTCAATTATCTTTTTAAATTGTGGAAAATATACTGCACAAATGAAGATTGCGCCTTTTACTTTCCTGTGATCAAATGTAACTTGCACTTGCACTATTTCTCCTACTCGTGCCATACGACGACCCTTCATTGCATTAAGCGCAGTGACACGTCATCAGTACATTGGGCTATTGAAAAAAACTGGTAAAATTCTGGACGTGATCATAAAAATCTTTACTCCAATTTTGCTTGATTTGAGTTAAGTTCAGTTTTGACATCAGCCAATGGGTCTCCATCTGAGCGATCGTTGTCTGTTCCACTTACTCCACTCTTTTCTCGCAATTCCCCACTTCCTTTTCTGGTGTGATATTCTACCACGTAATACAACAGCATGGATACACCCAAGAGACTCATCAAACCGTAGATCTTGTAAGACACACACACGAACGAAAGGATACTAACAGCAAACGACAGGCAATTACCCACGCAGATGAAGAGGTACACGGCAGAGAAGACAGGGCCGTAGTTAGTCGGGAACAAGGCACCTACAAACACTGCGGGGATCAAAAGAAACAATGTGGACACTCAGTCGCACCAATAAACGTTGTTCACCGCTCATGTTCGTTTCACATCGGATTACTGGGAAGTTTACCCAAGTTAAGTTTTAACCCCAAAGGAGGTTGAAACTATCGAAAATGGGTTGTGTTAACCCAGGTCTAAGGATTACAATTAATTTGTGGTTCATTTATCACCCACAAATGGGTCGACATTGTTTGGTTAGAACAACCCCAAAATATATTTCAACCACCACAACTGGAGCGAACACAACCCAAATTTAAGGCAGTTGCAGTTTTCACCCTACCGTGGATCAAAAATTTTTTTTTCAATGATCAAGAGTACGTACATTTACACAAAATTGCAATGATAAAAACTAGACATTAGTCGAGCTTACTATACCAAAGCATCACTTTATGCAATTCATTTGGCCACAGAGGTATAAGAGTTGCAGTTTTAAAGGAACGCGATCACATTGAGTTTAACCTTAAATGAACAATAAAAGAGAAAAATGAACAATGAAAAGAGCACATCGACCAATGAAATGAGTCCAAGAGCAATGAAATGAGTAAAGAAAAGGAAATGACTAAAAGAGCAATGAAATGAATAAAAGAGTAATGCAAATGAGTAAAAGAGCAATGAAATGAGAAAAAGGATCAATGGAAATGAGTAAATAATCAATGAAATGAGTAAAATGAAAAATTAAATGAGTAAAAGCTTTGCTTCTACCCTTATACAATGAAAAGAGTAAACAAGCATTGAAAATGAATAAAAGAGCAATGAAATGAGTAAAAGAGCAAGGCAAATGAGTAACAGAGCAATGAAATGAGTGAAAGAGGAATGGCAATGAGTAAAAGAACAATGCAATGAGTAAAATACACATCGGAATGAGTAAAAGAGCAATGAAATCAGTAAAAGGGGCATGCAAATGAGCAAATTAGGAATGACAACGAAAAGAACTGATTGCATGTAGTGCCTCTGATATAACAAATTTAACAAAAAAATCTGGTTATAACTCTTGTAGTAATTTTTAAAATTACTGTAACAAAAATCCTTCTTGATATTCACTTAGAAATCTTTTTCTTGTGCTTCTTTTCTTATGCTCACTGCATACTGAGACTTTGGCTTGTTCTTTTCTTAAGGAGGACTCTTTTGTCATGTTGAATAATCTTGAGCAGAGCTCAGCGTGCCCGTGGATTAGAGTCATTTACATTTGAATTACATGTACTTTGTATCGCTAGAGAAGGGAGGGCCACTCCCTTACATTCCTTCTGTTGGAAACTGGGTTGGACACTCTTTATAAAGACTATAGCCCACTACTGCCTGTCTAGGATTTGTGACTGGGTGCTGGTGAAGGCAAATGCCATTTTGATTTGTTTCTGTTGCGTATATGAGTTACAGTTGGGTGCCATTACTGAAACACATGGATATCCTGACAAATTCTGTAAGTTAATTTTGTAATCTTCATACATTTGTACCCCGTGCCTCATCTCAGCCATGCCTGTAGTTCCTGTAATTCTGTTATTATTGAATAATTTACTTGTTATGCTGTATAATCGTAGATGTGATAATGTGAGTCGACTAAATTGTTCAAAGTTGGCACTTAATTCCGTTATTTGCTGGCTAGAGCCGCGAGCTAATTGGATACAGCCGAGAAATTTATTAGGCTGATTCTACTGTACTTATTTGAATCCATACTACCAAATTGTAAATATCCGAAATGATGCAATTATTTATGTTCATTAAATGCCGGAGGGCAGTTAAACAGTGGCAAATATAAAAACAGTTCTTTTCTCTTAAGTTGATTTGTGTGCGTTTCCACTACTGGCGCAGTCCTAATTAAAAAAGGATTTCGTTACATTACTATGATAATTATTGTAAAAAATCAACGTTAACAACGGGAAATAAAATTATTACTGACACCAGTATGTGAAGACTACTGAATTTGTTTCGTGTTATGTGACTATCGAGTAATAATTCTCGGGTCGGACGCCGGCCGGGAACTGCTGCACACTATTTCACAGCACAACAGGTAAATTTGCCCCTGTGTTACGTGTTAAAAATCCGAACTGACGTTAAACCGCCCACGAGCGTTCATTATTTTTATGTAATGATGTATTTTGCATTCATTCCACAATAAAGAACGACAGTAACGTTCCACTTTGTTTCAATTTGTAAAACTGTGTACATGTACAGGGTAACCGGGTGTTAAACACCAGTTCAAAAGATTATAAAATTCAGCCAGAGTCAAAACCACATGTACAGGTCATCTTGTGCAATAAATTTTAACCCATTTTCTTTACTATTCATATAATATCATATTATTATGCTTATGGATATTCATGCCCTTTTCCATTTTCAAGGTCAAGGTCTACTGAGGTCTTATCCCCTTGGTACATCTACAAGCTGAAAACGCTTTTAAACAGCAGACAGTGAGGGGCATGTCTATTTCAGCGTTGGTAGCGGCGGTGCGTAGGGCCTACAAGCATGCAAACACACCTGGAAACGAATGCGTTCCGGTACGAGTTGACTTTCACTACATTGCACGTACAATGACGTCAAATTGCACACTAAAAGGCACAAAGACTTTCAGTTCTCATTCGTACAGTTTCCTTCTTGCATAATACTTACTCATTAGAGCTTTCGTGATATTCCGCACTATTCACAAGTAGAGAAATGTCAGGAAAAACAAGGCCAAAATGAGAAAATTCCCTCTAAAATGTTGGCTTCACTTCCAACTTCTGACTCTGTTACTTTGGAGGTACGTGAGAAAGACGAGCAAAAATTTGACAGAAAATGGATTTTTATCGTTCGCAAGTTAGCGAAAGTTACTTTGAGTGTTTCGGTGTGGAAATAAGGGGCACACAGCTATATTTGAGCTTGATGTTGATCGATTCCTTTTGGGGTCCACTGTTCGAGTCAAGAAACATTTTACTGGCTTTTGGCTGTAGTGGGATTCAGTGTACATACGCACAAACTAGCTGCGGGCATGAACATACGTGACACGTACCTCGAATTTGCATTTGCCAGACTGCATCTCCCACGGACCATACGACGGCCAAAACAAACAAGTGCCATCTCTGTCTCTCTTCAGGATCCCAGAGCACAGAAAAGACGAACGCTCCTTCAATTAGAGTTGCTGCAACCGTCAGCATGACCAGTCTGCTCACGTACTGCCTTAGCAATCCAAAGATGATGGTGAAAATGGCGTCGCTGGCTGCAAAGACTGCAATGATGTAACCAACGTCGTGAACGCCCTGTGTGCAGCTGACAAACGACTGTAGGGGAAGTAGGACCGTGTACAAATTAGATATGAATTCTTAGGCATTAAGCTTAACACTTAAATTTTCAAGAGCAAAATGTTGAAGGCAGCATTTAAGTTTACCTTTGTAAAATCTCCCACAACGAATGAATAGTATGCACCAATAAAGACGGCGAAAGGCATGAGCATCAGCAGATGTGGCTCTCTCAAGGCGTGTAGTGTTGCCAGCCAGTTGGACTGTTTCTGTTCGGCTGACAGATTCGCCGATACATGGTGGTAACAGGGTTTGACGTTGTCCATGAAGAACAGGCCGATGAGTGGAGCGAGAATCAGGCCACTAGCCGCAAAGACGCCTAAAAATATCCTGATCAGGACCTCTGGTGGCCGGAGTGTACCTATCGTCTCTTCAGGTATCTCTGCACCACAGTCCCGCGCACCACAACAACTAGAACTGAAATTTGAACTGTCCAGGAGGCCCTCCTCTGATACGTGCCTTGTGAGGACTTGGGACAGAACAAATGTCGCAACAGTGTTCGATATCTGCCAGGACGCGTTTTGAAAGGCCATATACCGGCTCGTGAGAACTTCGGCGAGGCTGCTGCGTAACCCTGCCTTATTGACAGCAAGAGTATTTAGCATTGTGGATATGGCCGCCCAACTAGGTCCCGTCCCCAGACCACAGAGGATTGCGGATGGGATGAGAATGAAAAACTTGGGATAGAAGTTGCTGGCAGCATTCAGCCCGTAAGCTACCGAACCTAAGATAAGTGTCTTCTTGGTTCCAAGTTTCTGTAGCATGACCGGTGATATCAAGAGACATGAGACGGTGAGTGCTGCATAAAAGCAGCTAAGACTTGCAAGGCCTAACCCCTTGGAATCATTCAAGCTGCTCTGAAGTGATTGCAAAGAACTGAAACTCAAAGAGTTCAGTCCAGACACTACACAGACCGCCACAACGTTTACAGTGTGTCTTCCAACGAACGCCATCTTAGTATGGCGCTGTGTGAGACACTGATCTTTCACAGTTCGCTCAGCTTACAAGTTACAGATCAAACTTTGAAGTTTGCCCGGACGTCCGCAGAGAGCATAATTCGCCCTGAAAGAGAGCAATTAATTTCATTACACAGTTCGCTCATTGGATTGCTTATCTTTCATACAGGACAGGCATGTACTTGCCCGATTAACGTAGTTTGTTTCTAATATAACTGATCTCAGCAAGAGTTAGGTTCTATATGATGAATGGAGCAAATGTTCTCCGACAAACCAGCCGCCAGGCTTTTTACGGAACTTTCGGATATCTAAACTCTATCACAAAAATTGTGGACGAAGTAAGTCACAACTACAGACGTTGGCCTTTCACTTATAATGTCATAATGATGCACACATGCGCTTACACTGAAAATTTTATGTAATCAGGGTGAAAAACTCGTCAAAAATGAGGCAAATATTAATGCAAGTATTTCCTCAGTTGACGAGTTTGATTAGGAGAATAACAAATTAAAATCGATGTATACGAACGGGTAAAGTTCCCGGACGGATTAAAATCAGTGGACAAATTTCAATAATGGGCTAATCTGCTTATCGTCAATTGGGGATTAGACGTCGTCATGAAGACGAAATAATTTTACAAGAAAAATTCTTTGACCAATCTCTTTAAACCTTATCGTTACCAAATCAAATTTGCCCAAGGTTTGACTTCTTTTGGCTTTACGAACTTTGGTTCCCGGGTTTCCTGCCCTCGCCAGGCTGAAATGTGAATATGGTTTGTATTTGTTTCAAGATTTGGAAATTTGTACAATTTGGGTTTGCTCAATGTTAATCAGAGATTTAAGTGAAAATGTCGATTGGAATCTTGTTTTCAGACTGTTATTTAAGTGTGATAACCTTGAAAGTGGCGTGTAATGTGACCAGTTAACATAGTCACGACAATTGAAATCATTCAGAAAGACAAATTAATTTTCATGCATTATTGATCAATTCTCCTGCATTACTAATAAATTTGTTTTCTGCATTAATAGTTAATTTTCATGCATTACTAATCGTTTGAGAAATTAGTCAAATAAGAAATTTTTTTCACGACTAATTATAATTATTCAGAATTACCCATACATGAAAGTTTATTAATTAATCAAAAAAAGACAGCGTGCATGAAGTTTTAGCCAACTGACTTAATACAATTTCCAGCGTACATAGGCATAGCGTCAAAAGCCATCTTATGAGCCACCCATTGAAATGCACTGGGGCTCGAAGTTCATGGAAAACTTCAAACATACCGATGAATACATTTTGATGTCACAGGCAAACTTTAGCCATTGCAATAAAACTGGTAAATATCATAGTCGAACTTTAGACAAGCTAACAAAAATGATAAATATGATAACACATTTTCAGTCGAACATAATTATCAGAATGGTACTTTACACAATTTGAGAATATGCCTCCCCAGGGTGTACTAGGCCTACTTATGGTTTCATTTTATATTAACCTGACTATAGAGTTTAATTTCCCCTTTTCCATGAATAATAAGAGAGGGGCCTCAAATTTAAATCAGCTCATCAGTGGGCTTTTATATCACTCGTTTGCTCTCATGAACTTTGTTGATATTTCATGGATACAAAGGGAACTGTGACCACAATAGACTTATTGTTTTTCTGTTAGGCAAACATGTCAAACTAGCAACCCTGCGGATATTGAGGAATTGACCCGTCTACAACTGAGCGATGGGCAATATCTTAATAAACCACCGTATCTGAATCCCAAGAAACTGTTTCAAGGACATGCATGGTGAACAAAATTTCTCCTCCTTGAGTTAACTCGTGCATACGACTTCTATGAGGGCAACCCTTATTTCTATTCGACGGTGTTCCAATCTGTTTTCACTTTGAAGAAGGGAGGGTCGGTCGGTAGGTCGAAAAAATTCTATGTTGCCACCATACAGATGACTGAGTAAACCAGGCAAAATGCACACTAGTAGTTGAGGGGGTCTTACTGGCATCTTTCTAGTCCAACATGTTTGAAAGACTTCTGTGCCTACGTGCAATTCAAGTCATGTCTAATTTGGAGTAGGGCCTATAAAGATATGGAATTCCATAAGATATCGACTGTCAGCTGCGTTGATGTTTAGGCGAAATCGTATCGCAAATGTAGGCTACATTTGCAGTGCAGTTTTTGTACAGGGCCTCACACCATCCTATTTTATAGGCAAGGTCCCCTCAGGATCGGTAGAAAAAAAGGGCCTTTTGGTGATGTCGGGAGTCGAAAAGGTTGGGTAGTAACACAGAAATTAAAAAGGGCGCCCAATTACCCTAGTATACCTTAAAAGCCTTTTCTATACTTGTTCTTACTCCTGTTTTGTTTTCATTCATGTCCTAATATATGCATATCGATAAGCGAGGTGATCCACTAGTGGCTATATACCCTCCACCCCCCCCCCGAAACTCGAATTCTCTCACGTATGTTGATCGTCCGAGTCGCTCGATGAGTTCATGTGGTCCGCACTTCGACCGATAGGCAACTCTCTGTCTTCTCCGTGTATATAGTCACTTCGATTGTAAAAGCTGCATACAGAGAGAGTTGCGACGTGAGTGTCCCAATGCCTCACTACCCGGGAACACAACTCCACATGATTTTTTTCCGTGGGCGGGTGCGTAAGAATACTGCAAAGTAATCAGCCATTTTCGTTCTATGCAAAGTCTGAAGATGGCGCCCACTCCCTTTTATGTACAGTTCTGCCGAGAGGTTTACAACAGCGCCGCCAATAATCATTACAACACTCGCCATGCTCTCTTTTAATGTAAGAACTTTTGAAAATGTACACAATTTTACGAAAAATAGACATGAAATGAAATTGATGCATCGGAATTCTGCTTTGAACGCTTGCCTCAAGAGTTGCAAAGCCACAGATCATAAACCACCCAAAACCTGCAACCTTGAATTCCGACTCTTAGGCCTAAATGTAATTCTGTGGACCGTACCGTATTTCTTTTTTACTCACCCAGTGTAGACAATGTGAAAACGTAAACTACCAACGGATATGTCATAAATAATCTAAATGTCGTTACTGTTACATGTTATTTGCATCTTTAGACAAAATAAACCATGAAATTTAGACAATCGTTAATTATTTTGGCTGCAAATACTGTCCCATGCTGAAGCATTTCAAAAAATAGGTTGACACTTTTAAAGAACAGTAACGGACCAGAAGTTTTAAAGTATCAAAACTGGCGTACCAGACCACACCAGAATCATACTCCATGAGTATTTTCTCCGTCATCGAGGGCGGGTTTATTCTTTTTTCATAGCATGCAGTGCATGCTGGATCAGCAACACTAAAATCCCGCTTCAAATTCATCAGTTGCACAACCCCTAGCTTAAAATTCCACTCACAAATTGGATTTAAACCGTTGATAAAAGGAAAGTCGAATCTTCAGCTGCTACAAAACTTCTTTATAATTATGTTTAATGATCTGAGTGGGTCTGTGGTACAGTCATACCAAGTGTGATGACAGTAATCGCTAACTGTGAGAACGTGATCACGCACCTTTTATTACCCGTGTCAACGAATTCATCAATTGAAATCGCACATATACGTACAAAATATGTAGCTCTACGCTTGAAGGGCTAAAAGGAAGGACCCAGCCGGGTGGATGCCAATGTCTCACTACTGGTTATCCAGGTTGGACGATGTATTCATTTACACCACGACTGCACGCGTCCATTGGGCCAACTGCTTGTCGAAAGCATATAAAATGGCCCAAGTAGCCTCAAACCTGGTTTTAAACGCATGAATTCTGCCGCATAGGCCTGTGCCTAAAATGAAAACAAATCGTCTCTTTAAACCGATGTACACACACCACACTTAAAAACGTGCAGTTCAATACCGTTAATGCAAAATGTGCAGTTTAAGGCAGAAATTGTTGCCACCTAAGACTGAATATTTCTGCAAACTCTTGGCCGACAGTACAAGATGCTGGTCAGTGTTGGTATTAAAACTGAGGAAGGGTCTAACACTCTATTTTGCCAATGACTACAAGTTAACACCCTAAAAAGTTCACAACAATTTTCAATATCTGAATATGTTTTGCTCGCTTACCGAATATTCGAGTATTATTCTCGGAATTTCAATATTCGAATGCAAAATTCATGACAAGGAAGGGAGTATTTTCTTTTGTTTTAAATGAAGAACGACGGAGATCTTACAACCCAAAAGAATTATTGATTACACAATTGAAAAGGAACAGAAATTTTCAACAGGGCAAGAAGTGTTGTTCCTCTCTTAAATCTTGCTAAATTGTGGCTGGAGATACTCTAGACGTGAGAATCTATTATAGTGATTATAAAGTACAACTGTGTGTTTCCAAGGATGGGGGTTTGAGTAGGTTCGAGTCCCACCCGAGTACGTTTGTGGGTTTTTTTTTCACAAGCCTTCGGGGGTAAACACAGAGTATACAGTGTTATAATACACGCCGGGCCGGGCAAAAACCCAAAATTAATTTATAATTGTGTACATTATTGCAGCTGATTTTGTGTACGGTTCAACCATCAACAATCTGCCGGTAGATAAGACCAAATATTTGGATATTCGATCAAATTAAAGGTTGAATATTCGCATCGTGAATTATTCAAGTTAACTAGGCGCTAGTTTCCACCGAAAGCTTCGGTCAGGTTATTTTACGTACACGAGAAAAACTGAAGGCCTAAAAGTTTACACTGTCATTTGCCGCAAAATGCACTATGAGGTATCTCGCGGTAGAATTTATATGGATTTTAAAGATTAAAGAAAATCACATTTTACTTTCTTGTAATTCGACACCTGATGACGTCATCATGGTGTGGCAAGTACAACTCGGTATGAGGGCTATGTTTACATTATCAAGTTAATGTATTGTACAATGTTGAAAAAATGGTCCAGATATTTTTTTTAAGAGTAAAAATAGTAAGAGGGGGAAACACTAAGGTGAAATCGAGAGATTTCAAATAGGTGATAAGTTGAGCCTTATCACCTTATGATGGCTGTCTCGAAAGAAAAAAACTCCACCCCCATTCTTTCAAAACCCCAGACGCTAAACAAGTTCAGTTTTTACTTGGCCAAATGGTTGGTTCAGTTAGTGAACTGTAGATTTATCATCTTTGGTGGGGGAAATGACATCAAATCAAGAGTCAGTTTGTTTGATTCTTGATCACTCATTTATTTGCAAAATTTAACTTTACAGAGATGTCATGGTATTGATTAAATTAAATTGATTCATAAAATTCTGTCTTTCTCTGTGGTGTTTAATTTTTAAATTAAATTTTAAATAGGCCCTACCTCCAGTTTCATGATTTAACTTGCACCTTTTCGGCTCACTTCTTTAGCTGCACAACAGACAATTGTAACATTACATCTGGCTTGATCATTTCACAGCAATGATTCTCCCGTGTACAAAAGCAGACAAGTAACTGGTAATGTTTTATGGTTGTTAATTATGCTGTTGGTTTTTCGGTAATAAAGTATCCCTCATGTTTCAAGGTTGTGTTACATTTATTTTCGTTTATTCCAAAAATTCAGCTCTTTTCACACCCGGATACAATTTTTTACCCAAAGTTACAGTAGTTTTGCTATTATGACTGCAGTGGCATAACTAGGCCTAAGTGTCCAGGGGGAGGCACCCCAGGGGTGCACAAATTTTTTCAAGGGGGCACCAGGAGCAAATAAGCTGCAGCTGTATAGCTATACATGTATAAATTCAACAGAAATTATTCACACATTTCCAATGGGGGCACCCCCCCCATAGTAACACTACTGTATGAATTATAGGATTATCTAATACAAATTTGGCCTAAATCATGAAAGACAGATATTTATAAACAATGAAGTGAGTCAAATTACAACTCATGCACAAATGTAAGGTGACTTTTTAACTTCTTGTGGGCAATGACTCATCCATGAACAACATAAACTGCTTCAAAATGCACCACGATGTGCAAAAAAGTAATCTTGCATTGATTTTCGCCAGGATCAAATTCTTTACTATTACAAAACTTGTGGAGTTTAGAAATTGAAATTTCAGTCAATTACAACAGCATATAAAGGTAAAAAATAATGCAGATTTTAAATAGTAAAAGTACATGCAATAAAATATTAAAAATCTAAGTAAAATAAAATTGATCATACAGATTACCTGTACAAAATAACAGTACTTCTGACAATATGGAGTTCCAAACAACTTTTCACATACAATGTTTAAAATCCTCATTATGCAAAATATGTGTATAATTTTTTTTCGAAGCATGTGATAACATTCTGATTCAAACTACACGGTATCATGGGATAATGATGGAGAACCATTAAAAGTGCAACAACCCTTTTGTTGGTGAATACATTACAGTAGTCTCCATTAACAACTTCTGCTGTATGGCAACTTTAAATAGTTTATACCTACAGTTGTGCTCAAAAGTATTCATACCCTTTGGAAAATAACTCACTTCTCTAAATTCTTCATTTATAAAAGCTATTATGTTGGTACTTCCACTATATCTTTTGTCGAATTGTTGCAATACACAAACCCACATGTGTTGGCTGAACTTCTTTTGCATACTAATAGATACGGCCGGGGGTTCTTTTTTTGCTCCTGTTCAAAAGTTTTCATACCCCAGGTTTACATAGTCCATTGTCTTTTCCTAATAGTCAATAGTATAGCCTTTGTTCTTGATGACTGCCTCAAGACAGTTCCTATAACTGTCCACAAGCTTTCTGCATGTCTCCTATGATATGTTGGTCCACTCTTCCTTGGCTAAAGCCTACAGCTGGGTCAGGTTGGATGGTCTCCTCAGTATCATTATCAGAAAAGTAATAATAGTACAGTAATAATATTGTGTACTGCTTACATAGTGTTTAAAAGCTTGTACACAGCTTTGATGGCTCAAAGTTTATAGGTAATCGATGAGATTAGCACATGTACATGGGAATATCTTTAACCCTCAAAAAGCCTGGTTATTTTGGCCCATCTTACAGCTGGGGGGGGGGGGATCTGGCCCCCCCCCCGACCTATGCTATGCCTTGTTCAATTTTGTTGAAACTTGGCATACATGTAATGAGCTACAATGCCTAAGGTGCTCAGTTGAGGAATCCTTGGTGTCATTACCAGAAAAGTTAATAGTAATAATTGTGTACCGCTTACGTATTGTTCAACAGCTTGTCCATTTTCCATGTGCTTAGCTTTGATGGCTCAGAGTTTATAGGCCATCAGTGCACTTAGTACATATTCTCTGCGGGGAAATATCTTTAACCCTCCAAAACACCTGGTTATTTTAACCCCTCTCATAGCTGGGGGGGGAAGATTCTGGCACCCCCCCCAAGAACCCGGCTGTACCCTGCTCACTTTTGTTAAAACTCTTGAAAACTCTTAAAGGTTCAGCTTCCAGAAAATGTGCACTATGGCAATATTAGAAAAAATGTCCAGGGGGATGGATCCTTCCCACCCCCGGCTCTTTTAGGGTTAAAGGAATAATTATGAATTAGTTTTGAAGATTCCTTTTCTCTTATGCCAGTGTTCAATGCCTGGCCATTATTTGATCAAGTCACATGATCATACCATGTACAGGTAATCAGATCATGCCCACATTGCGACTGTTACAAAGACAAAATGATGTAACAGTATGAGAGCAGTGCAATAAGAAAGGATGTCAAAAACAATTTTACTTTGTCAAAAAGCTGGCACAATGCTTAGGCCATGACTAGGAGGGGGTCTTTTTAAAGCATTACGACCTTGTGACCAGAATCAACTCCGTGCAGGTTATACCATTGCCTTCAAATCACGACTAGCGAGCCCTGTGGCCATGTCTCATCACCTGATTGAATCACCTGACCCTACTGCTGCTGGCCTGGACGAGGGCAGCAAACTCTCCACCAGGCATGGCCAGAAGCTGCGGCGGGGGTCCCGTCTCTACAATTTCCCCATTGCTCATGACCAAAATGGTGTCACAATTCATGATGGTCTCAACTCGGTGCTAAGACACAAGAAACAAAAAATCAGAACTACAGGTTCGTGAAAGGATAGCGAAATATTTCAAAAATATTTGTAAGCACGTGCATTTAGCCTTTCTACTGTAAATACTGTTTTGCATGCTGCAGTGCAAACAGTTTCAACAAAATCTCTTCACTGTTTACAATTAGTTCAAAGATAAAGATTAAATCTATTTGTATTCAATTGTTTCTAGTCATTACACAGCATTCCTCAAAAGTGCCCAAGCACTCTAGCTTGGAGGCACGAAGAAACCAAGAGAGAGAAGACAAAGAAGGTTTCCGCATTACCAGAGCGAAGAAAACCCCAGAATGATATTCCACAGAAAACCCAGAGCTTCAGGGAGGGACAGAAAACTCAGTAGACACGTAAGCCTTCTTGAAATTGGACCTCGGGTCACAGAAATGGAAGGTAAAAAAAGTATCATTGTGCCTACCTGACTCCTTCAATACATGCTTTTGAATACAATGTACAAGCTTTAGGCATATCTCATCCAATGATACACAGTAGAATATCTACACATAGAGGAAGGACAAAGAAGGAGTTTGAACTGCCCAGGCTGTAACATCTGGCCAAGTACCACTTTCTGGCATACCCGGTATGTCCATAGCCAGAGCGCAGTGAGCGCGTGCTATGCACCATCTGTTTCACGATGAAACCCCTTTGTGCCCTATGATCTGCACCGCAATTTTTCACTGGTAATCTGCATCCTTAAAACTTTGTGTACTGAGGTCTAGGAAACTGAATATTCATGCATTTGTTGGTGCTTGGTATGATATCATAACATCAGATTTAGTGCTTGCGCAGTTGTTTGCAATAGGCCGAGTGCCCTAAATGCACATGTGCAGTCATTGTCCTTAATGAACGACTTCTTCAGGAGTTATTTTGGGAATAAATAGCCCTGTGGTTTACAATCTTTTGTGCTTTGTTTGAATAATTTTTATTATGGCATTTGCACAAAAGTCTATTTTACGAGATTTCAAGATCACTCCCCGTGATGGATTAGTGCATTTTGTTCCTTTTGAACTCAATTTTTCAGTAGTAGTCAACATTTTGTTGGCCAGTCTTAGCCAAATTTGTGCCAAGTCTTTGAAAACTGATGTATTGAAGGGAGGAGAATAAAATTACAAACTTTGCATGGATTATGTATTTCCTGGTCAAAGCAATAATTTGAATTTAATTGCAAGCAAAACACTTCAAGTATTGCAAGGATATTGCTGGTCCTGCTTGTCTGCCTAATCTGCAGGCAGTAATCGAGCATTTTTGGAATGTTTACTATTATTCGTCTGACTCGGCGGCAACGATCATTGAACACTTTGAAGTGCCCGAGTTCCGACTCCTTCAGTGTCCTCCTTCTATGTGCCCACAAGACTTACATTGACAAAACTTTTAAGTTCTGTATTAATCAATTAATTCACAAGATTGACTCGGGTTTGTTCTGAAGGTTTGACCGACATAATGGTGGTACTTTCTCTGCCTTGCATCTGTTTGCTTGAGATTGAACTCCTATGGGGGAATGTGCAGGTTTTTCAGTCATAAGTAGATTGGGGAGTCAGGTTGGCATTTCACCCCTGCAGCCCAGGTTCGATTCCCGGCTCAATCCGCATGTCAATTGGTTTCCAGTCCCTCATGATTCCTTGGGTTTTATCCAGAATACTCTCCTGGGATTTCCCGCCTCTAAAACTGTAAACTGCTTCTCGTTGTCTCCTCTCTTTAGATGTGGACAGATGTGGGTATTCAGCGCTACCTTAGGTGCCTTTGTATGCCTTCAACCTACGTAAATCTGAGGGCGTCCATGGAAAGTACTACTGTGCACTGACTGGAGTTTATCCTAATTAAAAGATAACATAAATTACAAGAATTTTCCTACACAAAAATCATCCAGGGCTCTTTACCAACTGGTAGACTAAATATTATTTTAACCCCCCCCCACCCATGATTTTACCAGCCTGTAGGCTTAGGCAACATAAGGAATCTTTGGTTTCAATACTGTGATCAGGAATAAGTCATCCACAAGAGACATAAAGCTCGATGATAAAAATGGAATATGAAGATTAATCTTTTCTCATGATTGACTCCATTCGCACCTAAAGGTTTCCTAGCAAGCCTTATTACATTCTCCAAGACTTTTCATATCATTCCTCCAGTGTTTGACAAACACATCAGAGAAAATGCATTTCCTGTAAAACAATATGGAACTTACAGCAACAGTCAGAACTGTTCGATCCTTGAAAGCTTCAGCCACAACCTCCTGCAAAGTCTTGTCCTGAAAACATGTTCAAGATTTTCATCAGCTTTAACTTCCAAAAGATTTAAATATGACGTACGCACAATGTCATACCCATCAAATGACCTTAATGAACAACAGTGTTTTACTGATGGCTATGGAAGTTTATTTCCACTCACCATCTCCACGTCGACGGAAGCCGTAGCTTCATCCATGATGAGGATGCGAGATTTGCGGAGGAAAGCCCGGGCGAGACAAAACAACTGCCGCTGTCCAACACTGAAATTCTCACCACCCTCTGAAACCTGGAAATCTGCCATCAAATGGGAACAGACCTGCAAGGACTTCTCGACATGAACTTTTGAGGGTAACTATCTGGTGGTTACTTAATGAGTAAGTGCCGTTATGTATTGATTATCATTGAAATAAACTTCCTCATTCACAGACACCTGGGTGACTGCAGAGGGTGACAACCCTCTACATGGTGCTTCTAGGGACACTTTGAATGCTCCACTGATCGCAGTACCTATTCCTGGTAACATATCTTGTTCAGACTGGAAACAGCCCAGAAATACCAGTTTTCCTGCTGTTGATTGTTTACCTACATTACGAAGGCACGCTAACCTCGAAAAAAGCTGCCATCCTATGTGAACACAAGGGAAATACTGCTTGTTCCCAAGGGAAATCAGCCATATTTAAAACAACACATTTGGAAAGGTATCTTCAGATTTTGAGACACTGTATCCCTTCACAGTTCTCCTACCGCCCCATTAAACTCCGCTCACCAAGTCCACCCAAGTCGGACACCAGTCCCTTGACCTGAGCTATCTGCAGGGCCTCCCATAATTCACTGTCAGCCATCCTGCCAGTGGGATCCAAATTTTTCCTAAATCAAAAGTTGAAAAAATGATTAGCAAAATAATCTCAAACCGTTTATATGATATATTTATTTGTTCATATCCTTAATACCAATGTGACATGGCCTTTGAAATCAGACAGAACTGGGCATGGAGGAGGTTTTTGATGTAGATTCTCAAGAAGTAAGCTCTCTCAATAATTTGGTTTGCTTTAATTAATCAGACAAAGGCCCCTGGAGGTTTTTGTTTCCATTACATACACATTTTCGCGTTTCCCTTCATACTGAGCCTCATTCACAAAGGTTCCAATTTCATGCATTTGAGATTTTTAAGACACCCTCCACTTAAGGAATCTTCCACCAATGTATTCTCAGACCAACAATTTTGTACTTTTCTATTCCGAGAGACACTTTTTATCAGACACCAGCCATGGCTGGATGGACTCTTGTACCTGATTGTTCCAGTAAAAAGAACCGGGTCCTGTGGAATAATTGACAAGCGTTGGCGCAAGACACTCAGAGATACACGGGACACATCCATTCCATCAATAACGAGTGACCCTGGAGAGGACAATTCAAGCAGTTCAGTTAATTATATGCCTGCTGACCTTGGAGTGAACGTAGGTGTCTCTACACATATTCGTCTACTATTAAGTACCTTATTTAATGTTAATAGTTTTAATAGCTGTGCAAGATTTTTTTAAACACTTTGTGGATTATTCTTTTGACTTTGTACTGATGGCCAGCCACAGCTGACCAAACACTGGCTGGCAGAAAGTAAGGCTGTGGTGCTGCGTTAAAAAGCTCCATACTGCAGTTTCTTTGATCTTTTTTTTTTTACTTCTGAGGCTTTGCAGTGGTCACACTTCCTAGAAATTATACCAACAAGAGCTGTTACTTTTTACCTTCATGTGTGTCAATCAGCTGAAGCAGAGCTAGGGTCAGTGAGGACTTGCCGCTCCCAGTCCTGCCACAGATGCCGATCTGAACCAAAAAATGCCCAAAACGTTTCTAACTTGACGAGACTCGGAAAGCCACACTTGGTGGGCTAGCGTTGTTCATAAAATGCATAAATCTCAGTTCAGAATGCATATTTGTGTTTAGTTTGAGCTCTTTAAATAGCAGACACCATCTACATCCAAGTATTCAGAGCACTGGGTGATGGTATAGGTTTGCTTAACGTTTTATGTGCATGCGTAAGTACATGCATTTCATGTGTGAAATACATCAATTGAAAGGTTACAGGCAACTCTGGGCAAAGGCTACAAGAATGAAAAGGGAGAAGTAAGCAATCTCCGAATAAGAGAGAATCACCTGACATTTGATTATAGTGAAGTAAATCATAAGAAGGGGAATGGTTACATTCAGGCAAGGAGTTTCAATCACATTGTAGAGGACCCACGTAAGATATAGGGCCTCCTTCCCTTTTTGTTGTGGCCCAAGGTTCTACAGGCACACCCTTACTTTTTTTGTGTCCTCGCGGCTGTTTATTTGGTGCCACATATTAACCAATGATTTATGTGTAAGCTTTCTCTAAACAGGAAACAACTACAGACTTTCAAGTAAAGGATGATGCAACTTCCTGTCAGGCACTGGAGGGTTGGTGTGGGAGCCTTTGTTCTGGGGCCATTCTATCTCCAGACTTTGAGGAGTGCAGAATGTTGACCCTACACCAAGCTCAACCACAGTCTGATTGCTGTCATTCTTTACACGTATGTTCCATCTAATTTTCCTGTTACTCATACTTGCTAAATTGAAAGGTGCATGTACAGGAATCTCAGTTCTGATTGATTAGTTTTGATTGAGAATTGACTTCTCTCTGTACTAGTGTTTTAAACTTGAAGGAAAGTTGAAGTCTCTTTGTTCTTGACTGAGCACATGGTCAGGCGACGCTGGAAGGAATCTGTGAGGGTACCGGTCAACTCGGTCCATAACCATGCAACTCTCCAATGGCCAAACAGCCTCATTTTAGCCTCCTAGCCTGCCAGTTCATAAACAGAATCCTAGGTAACACAATGGGGGGGGGGGCATGTCCCATATCACCCCCCCCCCCATAAAAAGAGGAAAATTAGCTACTTTTAACTGGATTACCTTTTGGCCCGGTTCAATCTGGAGATCAATTTGGTTGAGAACTGGCTGCAAGGTGATGTCGTAACGAGCTGACACGTGGTTGAATTGTATCCCTCCACTAGCTGGCCAATTATCAGCTGGAACTATTCCTGAGAAGATAAAGACAGAGCAACAGAACTGACTGGGAGCTTAATTCATAAGGGAACGCAAAATATGCAGCGGCACCAAAAATAGAGGAGTTGTATTTAAATGCAGCCTGGAATTGGGTTCATTACAGTAACATTCAACTATCAACTATTTTACACAGGAAGAAAAACAAATCGCTTGGTTCAATCAGAAGAGATAAGATGAGCAATAAAAAGACTTATTTTCCCTGGAGCTTTATATAAACTGCGCTGGGTAGGAGCATTGGAAGTAATAGTGACAACCATTTCCTCACTTAAATGGAAAAATTTTTCTGTGTTCATTAACTATAACACTGAAGTTCCTTATTGCCAAGGGTATTGACAGACCATTTCTTTTTTGCCTTTTGTTGAGCTGAATGGCCATGTTCATGATCACAGCAGTATCGCAAGCCTGAGCAGCAGTTTTCGTATGAGGGATGCTTTGAGAGTGATTCCTGATCAAGTATTACGTACTTGATGACCATCAGCTGATAAGCCAAAACACAAGAATGCAATCATGCGACAATAGCCTTGGACATGAGCCTTCAGTGTCAAGGAGTTTTGATAAACAGCGACTATCTGCTGCCCAGGGTCGAAGTACAAATGAAAGGGCCAATTGACCCGATTGGTCACAGTACACTCAACTAGTTTTGCCTTTGCCTCAAGCAATGAAGGAAACACAAAACTCACCATGATATTTCTCAGTTGGAAGACACGTGTAATGCTCAATTCTCTCGACGGCATTCATTCGAATCTCCAGCTCTCCATAGAATCTTGCAATGTAGCTTAACAAAGCAGAACCCTGCAGGACAAACCAAGTGTTCAATTCCAGTTTCTTCACTGAATGCATCTGTTTTCAGTAAATCAAGTGATAAATGCCTCTTATAAGGTTGCAAAAGATTTGTCCTCAAAACAGTTCCAATTTGTCAGACTTTAACTAAATACCAGTTCGGTGATTTCAGTTTGACCTGAATTTCACTGTATACATCTTTCCCATCCTACACATGTGAACCGGCTCTGAGATCTATAGTACATCTAGGGCGCATATATCTATGCTTTGATCTTTGGCCTCAGAAAATAAGACTCTTATGGTCACTCACAGACCAAAGGGGAGCACGGGCATGCACATGTGACCAATTTCTGTTAGTTCATGTGTTTCTAACACACCTCTATCTAAAAAGAAACTTTTCAGGGTTTTTATAACTGAAATGTTTTAAGTCAACCATGCAACTAACAAGTAATTCAACACGTAACTAAAGTGAATGGAACCCCATTTTTAGTTTCCCTGGTTTTAGTTTTGAGTTGCTGTTTGCTATTCTTGCCCTATGAGGGCGCTGTGACTTGTCAAAATTTTTGAGTATTAGCACCTGATTGGGCACCAGTCTCTGGAACTGTCTTGGTGCACATCCATTTCATGTTGGTGCAAAGAACTAGCCTATATTCGTGAACCACATGCTACCAAGTAACAAGAACAAAGAACCAACAAAAGGTGTTTTACAATAACAAAAGTATTCCTCTTTCCTGACATATGATAACACTGCATGCATGATGCATGCCAGAAGCCAGTATGTGAGAACTGTGAAGATAATGGCACTATCCTAACTCATTGACTGCGGCGACTTTTAGAAATGAAAACTATATTAGTGGTACTGTTAATTTCAAGGTGAGTCTTTACTTGCTATATTGTTGGAATAATCAATGTGGCACAGGAATATTTGAAAGCAAAGATTCAGGGAATAGTTATGATGTAAGTAACAGTGTTGTAGTTGAGTTCTTTTTTACTGAGAACGGAGTACTGCTGAGTACCTAGATCACCAAGTGCGATTCAAGTACAACAGAATGCAAGTACAAACTAGATCTCTGAGTACGAGTACTTATGTTCCAGAGTATGAGAACAAGTACGAGAACTTGTATTGCTATTAACTTATACAAAACTTACCCATAACTTATTTGACGTACGCCAGCATATTCAACAAATTTTTCATACGTCGGTATGTGCTGGCTACATCGTCAAGGTTTAACTGGGCCCTGACCTGACAAATCCAAGGCCAATGTTTCTCTAGCAGGCCCAACATACGGGTCTTGTATAAATTCTCTCCAAATGATTGGAATTCTGAGGTCATGGAACAAGTCTAGGAACACACTAGTGGTATATCCTTCCTCCGATCACCCAAGTTAATCAAATGACCATTTTCAGGAACACCTTGGCTTTTCAGGTGGTTGGGTCAATATGGATAATTGGCTTCTTAAGGCAAGCATTACTTTAGCTGCACACGGCTCTGTTAAGAAATAGATCTAAGTCTTTACTCCACTGGAAATATGCAGAGAAGCAAGCACAGATAATAGATTTAGCCATAGCTCTGGAAGCCCGTTTGAACGTGACTTTTGTCTGCAGAGGAAGATGTTTTTTCCACAATCATTTAAAAGTATCAAAAAGAGAAGTGAGACCGTGGTATTAAGTCAATATCAATAAGTTTTACTGAGTACTGCTATTCAAGTAGGAGTAGCCTGATGATTGAGTATATTTTCAATGTGTCGAGTTTAAGCATTTTGCTGCGTGAGCACAAGTATCATCAATTTGAGTATGGGTACTTTGCCATTCGAGTACAAGTACTCTAAGGATGGTACTTGAGTAGTACCTGAGTACGAGTACCGAGTATAAGTACTTCAACACTAGTGTCAGAGGTTAAGGTTCTCTGTGAGTTCAGCTCTCATTCTTCCCATGTCTTTAGCTTTCTTGAAAAAAACAAATGGTGGGCTTGGATAAATTTCCCAGGCCAATTATTATAGTCGTTAATGTATGCATGCAGCTTGCTTGAAATCACGACAGATGAGTGCTCTTTTAAAGTTCTTCTTGGAAGAGCTCATGATATTAGTTTCGAGCACATCACTACATTTTCTGAAGTACCTGCAGAAATTTTTAAGATGTCTTAAGGAGAACTGAACTCAAAACTTGGAGTGCCACAGAAATCAAGTTACTGTTAGCATGTAGAAGAAAAGGTTGTCTTAACAGCTAACGGAAATCCTCTTACCCTTGAAGCGATCGCAATGGCCAGACCGACTAGACTAGTTGAGAGGTTCCCAAAGGACAATGCCAGTAAAGCTGCCAAACCAGCTGCGGGGACCATGAATGCTGCCAAAATATCCTACCAATAAAAGAACAAGTGGACATACTCATTTTGAATTTGTGCAAAGAGTAAAATCTGAGAAACTGAGAAAACTGTCTTAATTTAGGTAAATTATACTGTTGAAATTCTGCAAAGACAAAAGTAATAAAGTGATGCCCCCAAAATTGGGTGTTCCTCACATAAATGGAAAACAAACGAATCTAGTTAAAGAGAAACACAAATTTCCTTACCAGCCTGATGTTGAGCCACAAGTTACTAGTCTGTAGGTACAGGTATGCAGTGCAATTCTCATTGACCTTGGAGAGAAAACTACCTAGAAAGTGTTTTTGGTAGCTTTGAAAGAAAAAAAACAACACACACACACAATGATCGTGTGCTTCAGATTGGTCCATCCATTATAAATTGACAATTCTGCGACAAACTGTATTAAGAAACACGTCCTCCCATACATTTCTCAGAGCTAATTATGAAACTTTTGTAGGTAAACTAATCCTAAATGCATAGTATAATCAATGTTAAACTGAACTAAGATAGCTTACTGAATTAGCCTTCTGCAAGCTACATTAGAATAAAATCTGGTACACCGAGTTCCTTAAATTCACATGAACATAACAATTTGAATTCTCCATACTAAAGACACTGCTACTATACCTCTTGATTTGGGCAAGTTTTTGCTTAGTTACTTGAGGCACACCCTCCACCAATACACTGTTTTCAATGGATAAGAAGGGCACAAAGAGACCAGTCCATTCCAGAGATGGTGGTCGCTATGCAAAAGCTTGCCCCAAATGACGCGGTATAGCAACGGTGTCTTTAGCTTGGGGTATTCAAATTGTTATGTTTATGTGTAATAAGACAACACAGTGTACCAGATTTTATTCAAATTTAACTCGCAAAAGACTTATTTAAGTATGAAAAAAAATTTTCCTCCTAAAACTAAAGAATCACAGGTCTACAAGCAGATCTGTGTTACTCTCCCGAGGTATACCAATAAGTTTGCAATGAGAAGCCCTGTTAAAGTGGCCTATACTTACCCATAGGCCCTAATTGTTGGAAGACCGTCCAACGTCTGGGTGAAATATGCTAGTATTGGGGATCTTGATATGCTGTCCAATCGTTTGATCTCTCTAATAAACAAACAAATACACCTATGCATATGTAAACTTAAAGCAAATAAATCATTATTGTGAAAATTCTCCCCAAATGGCGATAAAAACCTTTCCTATTCATTGTCTCAGGAAGTGCAAAGTAAATACGTCAAGATGGTTATTCTGTCTTAGCGAGAGCCAGTTGGACAATCGGTCAGGGACATACATACTTTGTTGCCTGACGAGATGGTCACAGGAATGAGTCATTGGCCTGGCAAGCACAGGTAGGAATGAGTACAGCACTGAGCGCTGGCTAGGCAGAGTTCAAAATCAATCTGATGGCTACACTTATCAACTAAAGTGACCAAGATTAAGCCTGAAGCAAGTGATCACACAAGGATGAAGTAGGAACCAAGAGTGTGGATTTTTCACCTTGAGGAAGCCAGAAAGAAACGGACCAAGAGGAAGTTGACAACGGCTAAAGGCACAGCGGCTATCAGATATGCTGGCGCAACAATGGAATCCAAGATCAAAATGAACAGTCCTTCAACTATGTTGAACAAAACTGCGTCCAAATTTTGAAACAGGTACTGTGGATGAGAAAAGTAAATGGTCACAAGAAATGCCTTACTCCAACAAATAATGATCTAAGATCTTTGGCACTGGATCAATATTAGGAGATGAGGTCATGGCAGTGAAATTGCAAAAGAAGGTCTAGTGTTTCAGAGAGCAGGTCTACTACAAAGACAATGAGAGGGTTCTGGTTTCTTAGATATACATACTTGGTCTATGCTGTTTGTATCACTTGAAAAACGGTTGAGGATTCGTCCAGTTGGAGTGGTATCAAAAAACCTGCAAATGTAAGAACAAAGCACATTACAGAAACACACGTGAACAGAAACAAATATTGTCAAACATGTAGAAGTTTCAAAAGAACAAAGCACATTACAGAAACACACGTGAACAGAAACAAATATTGTCAAACATGTAGAAGTTTCAAAATGTGCAATCAACAGAAGAGCTCCATGAGTAAATACTTCGAATTAATCCTTGAACAGTGACATTTTCTGGAATTGTCAGCCATATTTGTTTTTAACTGTGTAGTTTGAAATCAAGATCACAGCCAAAATTATCATCTGCTGCAGACCCTGAAGTGTCTATACATGGTTTCCTGCCAATTCCTGCATATTTGAATTTTCATTGTAACATTTTTGGGGGATCCAGTTCGACATTTTTACCTCAACGGAAGGTGTGTGACATTGTTCAGAAGGTTTTTGAAGAGGTTTCGGGTCCCATAGTATGCTGCAACGGTGCGAGCAACATCAGAAATTGTGTAAACTGTCACACAGGCACCAGACAAGGCCGCATAACTCATGATGTAATAATCTGTCTCAGCACTGGCCTGAACACAAACAAATAAAGGGCAAGCTGTAAATTCCTGGCTTTGTACCATGGATCCCCAATATGGCCACACTACATTTCTTACAAATTCCACATCACTGCAAAACCACATATTACTTTGCAACCCCAAACCCAATGTAAAATACTAGACTGTTTCATAAGTGACGGCAAATATAAATGGGTGGCACGATGCAACAAAATGAAACATAACGTTGACGATACACAAGTAACGTCAAGTTGTTTAAAGATATGGCTCTGGGTTTGTGACACAACTCAAGAACATCGCATGCTGCATTATAACCAATGCACATACCTGGGGTTGCAATCAAAAGCACAGGAGAAAATATCAACAGTTTTACAGTTATTCTCAAGCATCATGTTGCAATGCAACGACACGGTTACTTATAAACCTTTCAAAGAGCAGACACTTCGGCTTACATTGGCATTCGTCACACCAGCCTCGCTCCATTCAGCCAACTTGAATGCTCTCCCCACTACGCAACTGTTGAAGACAAAGAGGCCCACAATCCAAGCCAGCAGGGGCCAGCCAGTCACTCGGATCAGGTACAGGTAGACCCTGTATGACACGCTGCCGTACTTACGCTCTTCTTCCTTGACCAGTCGGCCAGACGGGGCCATCTTCTCATGGCTACTTGTATCTGAAACATCAGGTTTGTTGATTGAGACATGAGTGCTTAAGGGGTTTCATTTCAGGTTCCAGAGCGCAACTCACAAGTGATAACTGACCTGACTTGAAGCAACCTTTCACTGGCAATGAAGAGGCATCATCTGGGTGGCCGGCACACATGTACAGACAACAGATGTCAATGATTCCAACATGAATTGGTCGTGCGTGCTCACCACATCCCATCCGTTTACCTAAGCCTGTACACAGGCACGTGGTGAGTTCCCACCCAACAACCAGCTTTGCTGTGTAAAAGCATGCCATCTCTCATATCCACATGGAGCAGATTATATGATTTCAGAGGGCCTGAGTATCTGATTAAGGTCTACTGGCCATGCGCAAGGATAGTAGAGGGCACTGTTGCGTAGTTGGTTCAACATGACCATGAACCAGTTCATGCACGACCAGCTGCATGGTGCACAATAAAGTTCCACTCACCCTCTTTAGGATGGCCTCTGATGATGTCACTATAACTTTCAGTGACTCCTTTCATTTTATTCCAACTGAAGAGAGAATTAAGGATCACCTGTCCCCTTTCATAATTTCTTTGTTCAGCATTCTTCATGTTCATTATTAACATCCACAAAAAGTCTAGCCTTTCATGTAAACCATGAACAGCTGACACAATCAATTTTAACTTGAATATGCAACAAACCCTTAGCATTTATAGTGTCATATACCACAGGACAGTGACAGGACGAGGCTTGAGTAGGAAAACAAGGCGGGAAAAAATGTACTGGTCAGTAACTTACTCTGTTTCTTGTCATTTGTGGTGCTATTGGACTGATCCACCGCTAACGGTTCATCCTCGGGTGACCACACTAGGGCATCTGCTTGGTCCGGCCTGTCGGAAGTCTGCTGGAGTAACTGTGGCCATGATCGGCTACCATGATACTCTTCTGCACCAATCTCATCTGGAGTCCCTTGTAGTTCAACTCTACCATTCACCATGACAATAACCTGCAGTAGAGGATTAAGTAACAAATAAACGTGTGAATTCATACATTTTAGGTTTTGTGTTTTACTTTACTCTGTGTACTGAAATTAGTGCTGGTTGCAACACCCAATCAATATGACACAGAATAGATCAACAAGCATGAGGAAGTCATGCTGTTTGGCGTGAAATAATATTTTCTGGCAATGAACTGGAACACACGATTGCGTTTGTCTTCTTACATGGTCAGCTAGCTCCGTCAAAAAGAGGTGGTTGGTCACCAAGATGGCTGTTCTTTCTTCATTTGATAGCAATCCCACAATGCCCTGTTGCACAACATGGCGACATACGTGAGCATCCAGAGCAGACAGTGGGTCATCCTGTTGGAAAGAAACATCAGGACACCTTTGCTTTGACCAAAATCAGAACTGGCTAACCACCAAGCCCATCTGACACTGCAGGCTTGGTGGTTAGCCAGTTTCTACAGGCTAACGTGCAGATTCTTGCAACCTATATTTGAGGTTTGCCCAATGAGCCCTGCCCTACACAGACTCACACGCATGCTTCGTTCCCGAAAAACCTTGCCTTTGTTATTGAAACAAATTGGCTCATCACCATAATGACGGTGGTTTTGTCTGAATACAACGCCCTCGCCAGGCTGATCCTCTGTTTCTGCCCGCCGCTGATGTTGATTCCCTTTTCGCCAATCTCGGTCTGGTCGCCAGCTGGAAATTGCTCCAGATCCGTCTGCAGAGCACAGGCCTTAATGACCTCTTGGTATCTGACAGGCAACAGAGGGCAGAAACTGACAGCATTCAGCTAACACTTCACCCCATGGGACCAGGATTGTATGCCTCTAGATGAAATAAGTGACTGAGCATGTGGTGCTGGACAATGTGTGTTCACTGCAACCTTAACCCCTTCGCGCCGGGGGACGGTAAGAGCCGCCGTAAAAATTGAGATCCTCAGCCCACTTTTCAGCTATTATTCTCGGCCCACGCTTGAGTGAACACGGTGAAAGAAGGCAGACCCTGGCTCTTGTATATATGGTGATTGGCCTTTGTGTGTAGCCCAGAAATGAAACGACTGAATTTACATCATAATCACCAGCTTCACAACAGTCCCCACTTTGAAAAGATCCAACCGGAATGTGGAAGCGTGAGTAGAGCCGCATGCCACTGAACAATGAGCCTTTTCACTGTGTAAATCAAAGCGTGCAGAGCACGCAGGGCCACAAACCGAGAATTTGTGGTTTGGCAGTTGGCCTTCGTGGCCAAGCGAGGCTGAAATTCTTGGAGTCGGCTTTCGGAAAAAAATTCGTCAAAGGGTTAATAGGCCTCTGTATTAATGATGTCACACTTTGTTGACATGGTGCTTTCCTATGATGTCATTGGGGGTCTATGTTCTACTGAGCACCATAGGAAAGCACAAACTTTAAAAATTTGACAATTACTAAGGCCAGGCACTTTTTGCTTTCCCAACTCAAAGTTGCCCAAATGAGCAACCTCTTGAATGAACAGAAATTTGATTTTGTTGGCATTGTTGGGATGAGACGATGGCAAGTAAATGTTCAGCCTACCTTGCATCATCCATGTCACAACCTAAGGTGATATTGTCTCTGACAGAAGCATTGATAATCCATGGCTTCTGCGCTGTGTAAGCTACATCACTGAAGAGAATTTAAAAAAAAAAAAAGAAGAAAATTGAGAGACTGACAGGGGTTGCATCGCTAATGGGTCTCCAGCAAACATTGCAAGATAAATATAAACCAAAATTTCCCCTGGCAGGGCAATGAATGATCCAATGGGAGCTTGTCTCGTAGCTAAATCTATCACAAACCATCTCAAGGCATTCACAAGTCATCAACTCCAAAGTTAATGATAAATAATAGTAATAATGATATTAATAGATTCTTGTACAGCACCCAATCAAAGGATGATGCTCAAGGCACTTAACAGAAATATAATTAAAAACTAATTCAAAATTTAAAGACATCTAATATTATTGAATATAATACACATATGAACTTAAAAGCATATTCAAATAAACTGTGACAAAGGCAATCCTTTTTTAATTTTATGTTGCCACCTGACTTATGATTTGCTTGTGTTGGACTTAACCACAAGACAGCTATCCTTCTGTTTCAGTCCAACGTTCTACTCATTGAAACTACGTATGAACATGATCAAACAAAACTGATCTAGTAAGGCTCGCATTTTGAAGGTTAAGCTGTTACCTGTCTGCTAGGTGAACATGGCCACTCAGTGTGGTCATCTCGCCCAGTATGGCACTGAGAAGGGCTGACTTGCCACTGCCCACACAACCGATGATGACAGTCAGTTTCCCTGAAATAGATCATATGAGGAGGGTCAAACAAAACCACTGCGATGAGGAATGGGCAGAAGTCGTCCCTCCCATCAGGCAAACTCCATTTCTAGTTGCCAATTGTGGTCAAGCCGCAATGACTTAAGCAATAGCTGGCAGTCTGTGGGTGTAAGATCCATTCAAGAGCAACTTTTACAGGTTCTTGGAAAGCTCTCAGATGTCAGTGAATGGCAAAACTCAATACGAAAAGCTAAAATGACACAATGCATGTAAAACATTATAACTTGCATACTGTTGGTGATGAGCACAAGTTTAACACTGAGGCTGATTTTGAGTCGCAGAATTCAAAACCCAATTGGTTTGTACATTTCATTACAGTGTAGACATTAGTAGTCATGTCCATCATAAGAAGCTAGTCTCAATCAAGTCACAAGCTCTTTGAATAAACTGTGACAAAAGCATTTCTTTGTCATTGCTCGTGCTATTTGGGCCTGGAACAGTGAAAGGACGTGATTGCCCTTGTAGTGGACTCAACTACATGCACATCATTGATTGCCTCCGTACATGTACTTTCAAAATGTGAACAGGGCATGAAAGTGGTGGTTTCCATATTTTGTCCATCACTTTCTTCAAATGCCCAGTGAGAACACTGTGGTCTATCCCACTAACCGCCTTCCACGGAGCAAATTTCACACTAGTCATGGTTTTTTCATGCATGATGGTGAGAGAGCTTGGTGTTGTGACACATGGCAGCAATCGTGCTGAGAGACACCCACCCCTGGGAATAGTGACGCTGATGTCATGAAGCACGGCCTCAGACCCAGAGTTCCACGAGAAGTTGCCACACTCAATCTGAAAAATGAAAATGCTAGAAGGTCAAACCAACTATTTCAAATTGATCCCCTCCACTTTACATGTGCCAGACGGTATATCATCCATAAAGGGTATAGGCAGATAACTCGCTGAATTAGGTGGTATCTTTTATAATTATCAGCTATCACTGACATGAATGGGCAAAGAGATTATCATTTATAAGAAGAGAGAAAACATGCTGCTAAAAGTGGTGTTGAAATATGAACATGAAAATATTCCCAGTTGCCTAATGTGAACCCCCATTGCCAAGGTAAATCTTGAAAGAAACCTTCCCAAATCTTCTATTGTGCAGAGAAACCAATGTCAACATTCTGAGTCACTTCAACCTTCAAGGGGTGTCAAGCCCCATGCGAAGTAACAGACCATTCTTCAATACCAGCATTAATCACTTCAATGGGTTATCCATCAATTAAAGGACCCCGCAAAATAAAAAACAGATGCACTAAAAGGGAAATACTCAATGATTGAAAACCAACTTTAAGTGAATAGAACTGTTTTCTGTCCTCAAGCATGTCAAGTTTCCCTATGTGCTTTGTCTCTCTTAAGCATGAAGATTTCACCGTCCAACCTGCTACTGACACTTCACTTTAATACCCATCAAGATTTCACCGTCCAACCTGCTACTGACACTTCACTTTAATACCCATCAAGATTTCACCGTCCAACCTGCTACTGACACTTCACTTTAATACCCATCAAGATTTCAA